GTAATCCCAGTGACTCGGGAGGCTGAGACAGGATGATCGTGAGTTCAAAAAGCCAGCCTCAGCAAAAGTGAGGCATTAAGCAACTCAGTGAGACCCTGTCTCTAAATAAAATACAAATAGGGCTCTGGATGTGGCTCAGTAGTTGAGCCCCTGAGTTCAATCCCTGGTAACTGCCCACCACGCCCCCTCACCCCAGCCCGCCACCAAAACAAAAATCAACCTCAATGGGCTAACATCAAGGTAATTCTTTGTAGAGATTCCATGGGGAATCTGTTTCTTTACCTTCTCTGACTTCTAGAGGCTGTTTGAGTTTCATGGCTTGTAGGCTCCATCTTCAAACGTCTCTCTAACTCAGGGTCCTGGTAGGCAAGTACCCTACTGCTGCGCTACTGGTCCTCTTTTTATAAAGACCCGGTGATTATATTGGACCTGCCTGGATAACCCAGAATACTCACTCACCTCCAGATCCTTAACCTAAACACATTAGCAAAATCCTTTTTGTAATTAGAGGTAACATATCCACAGGTTCTGAGGATTAGAGGTAACATATTCACAGGTTCTGGGCATCCTTGAGGACCATTATTCCATCATAGGTATGGAGCCACATAATGTTTTTTGAGGCAAATAATCTGTTTGAGAATTGAAATATGTCCCATTCCAGACTACACTGGTGACTTTAGAGAAGGGTCAGCAAACTTTTCCCATAAAGGACAGATAGTACACATCTGTTGTGATTCAACTCTGCATTGTAACGTGAAGAGGGCATAGGTAATGGAGACACAAGGAGCATGGCTGTTTCCAATAAAAATTTATTCGCAAGAACAGGTGGCAGGCCAAATTTGACCCTTGAGCTATACCCCTATCTTAGACCCAGCTAAAACAAAAGAGTTCTGTTTACCGTTAATGTTGAAGTCAAGTATGCAGGACATTTAGATATTTTGATGAACGAAAATGAAAAATTAGCCAAAATGAACTTGGTTTGCAGATTTGGAATTAATAAATTTTAATTAGGCAACTAGGCAGGTATTTGGGGAACCAGGCCCCAACTTTTCCTGGTATTTTCCAACAATGTGAAACCTTTCAAAAACCAGCTTAGTGTCTCATCTATATAGAAGACTAAGATCCTGCTTCTAGTAGAATATAGATTTTTCTAGCTAAATCCAAACTGCAATAGCTTAGAGATTTAAATATAAATGTTTATAGAATAATATTTGTTAATTTTCAAATAAATTTCTGATCAGTACATATGTGTAATTAAATGTATTCTCATCCTATTGCTAAATGGAATAAATTTCTTCAAATGATGTTTCAAAATTAGTCTACAAAAAATATAGGTATCTTTGGAACATTCTTTCCTGTTTGTGTCAATTTCTCAATGTAGAATTATTTGTCTTTGACTCTATTCCTTCTGAAAAAGGTGGGTGCTGCTCAGCTGGTATGGGTGTCTCTGAGGGACACAATGATATGGGTTCTGTGAATGTTGGAAACACTGAAAACTAATCTGAGCATGGTGGCACACACCTGTAATCCCAGCAGCTCTCTCAGAGGCTGAAGCAGGAGGATCACAAGTTCAAATCCAGCCTCAGCAACGGCAGGGTGCTAAGCAACTCAGTGAGACCCTGTCTCTAAATAAAATACAAAATAGGGCTGGGGATGTGGCTCAGTGGATGAGTTCCCCTGAATTCAATCCCCAGTAGCCCCTGCTGCAAAAAAAAAAGTCAGCCTCAGCAACTTAGCAAGGCCCTAAGTAACTCAGTGAGACCCTGTTTCTAAAATATATATATTAAAAAAGGGCTGGGGATGAGGCTCCGTGGTTAAGCACCCCTGGGTTCTATCCCCAGTACCAAACAAAACAAAACTGAAAACTAAAATCAGTGTTGTTGCTTGGATGAGCTGCTGTGACTGAAACATTGCTGGAAGGATGCTGATGGAAACAGAACAAGCAAGGAAGAAACAAGCCCCTGCCTCAGGCAACGTTGCATCCAGCCTCTCGGCAGCACCTCCTGTCTTTGGAACCTAATAGGAAAGGTGACAAAGCAGAAATGGGATTTGCAAGTCTCAGCCCCAGCATCACAAGGCAGAGCCTGGAAGGTTAGGTTTGAAAGTGAGAGGCAATAATTTAATAAGAAACAGAGGCCTAAAACACTAGAATTCCCAGTACCCAGATGAATCTGGAAGATCGCAGAAAGAGACCAAAAAAATCAGTGAAGATATGGTAGCATTTTGGAGGGAGGTATGGTTCTAGGTGGTTATCTAAAGTTGTCCCTGAAACTGATGAGCTGAAACAAAACTTGTGAGAAGTATTAACTTAGACCACAATGTAATGGGATGTTTATTTAAATAAAAATATATTTTATTTGTATTAAATTGCTCTTTATAAAAAGTTTTGGGCAATGCCAGAAATTTAGTAAATGCTGAATAGTGATAATTGTTCATCTTTGAAGTTCTCTGGTGATCAGGATACAAAGATCAGCCCGGGCCATTTTGTTAGGCAATAACTGAGAAGGTATCAGGGCTCCTCTAAGCTCTGCTTTCATCCTGGTACTTTACCACTGTTGCATTTCTCAGTTTCTTTGGTGGTTAGCTCTCAGCAGGTGTGAACTGTTCTTCTGTTTTTCAACCGTCCTCTTGTTTCACTCCAATTGTTCTATATCTAGAAACATTTTTTAAAATTGGAAATGTGTCTGGAAGAATAAAGTCTTGGAGGAAATCAAAGAAACTTATTTGTTGAAAATCTAATGAGCAGAGAGAATAGATGGCAGAAACAATGGTTAGTTACCTGGCAGTGAAAAGGAAAGAAGAGTTGAGAAAGAAAGATAAGGGAGATGATGATGATGATATTGTTGGATTAAAAGAGCAACAGACTGAAAAAAAAATAGGAAACAAAGGAACCAAGATCTCTAACTGGGATAAAGGACACAACCCAGCTCTGACAGTTTTAGAGGTAGTGTATTGTATTAATGTTAAAATGCCTTTTCCCTCCCACAAATAGGATGCATCTTATAAACAAGGAAAGCCTGAGCTTAACTGGCAGTATTCTTTCTTAGTGGTTTATAGAAGAATGGGTATTTTACAATTGATGGAATTGAGATTAAAATATACTCATCTGAAGAGCTACTGTTCATGTAAGTAAGCAGGTATTTAAAATGCTACCTTTTTCATATTTTATTGGTGCCTTTGAAAAATAGGTAACAATTGTGGAATATTTATAATATACCAAATCTACTTTGCAGAATTAGAGAAGGGATTATCCTTGAATAATCTCCTCAGTGAACATTTCAGTATTTTCATGTTGATCACCATCTGTGCTGATTCAAAATCTAATTCACGTGGCTGTGTGTAGGAGGATAATACAAACTTATCATCCCTTTAGAGGGGGAAAGGACAGCTGCTACTCTTATATATATATTGGGGACAACAGATGCATTCCATAACCATCTGTGGTTACTCTAGCTATGTACCCTTCCTTTAGGAAGTTTAATACTCTGAGTACCTCACCAAGGAACAGGGAAATGTTAGATAAATCAAAATCTTTGTAACTACGTCACTGCAATGGAAGTAAGGAATAAAATGAACCTAAAAAAAAAAAAAATATGACACAAAACACCCTGGAAGGAAAGGATGGGTGAAGCCTAGCTGTCTTTCCAAACCTGGAGATATCGAACTCTTAATTTGCTAGTAGCACAGAATGCCAAAGTAAGAGAAAAAGCCAATGTCTGCCAAGAAGGAGACCAGAACAGGGTCCCCTCTGATAAACTCGAGTCTTGAAAGGACTATGCCTGCAACATACAAGTAAATAAGGGACAATTCCCACCACACAAAACACGGAGGAGTCCACAACCACCCACACCTATCTGCAAAGTGTCACTGTGCCCCTCACTTGAGATTTGCAAATCACAAGCTGGCTTTTATACAGGATTGTGCTTTGAAGTTGCACTAACTGCACAGCATCAAGCCTCTTAAGTGAGAATGTAGTCCAAAGAGGTTTTGAGTGATGTTCTAGGTGGCTGGCAGAAGGTTTTTATAAAACCTCTTAGGAAGAACTCAGTTTCAATTCAGGCCTCAGAGACTGTCCCCATATCAAGTTCTAAATGGAGTGAGAAGCTTACAGTAAAAATTCAAAAGACATACAAGGGAATAAAACACTATAGTTAAAAATTAAAGCTGGGCGCAGTGCTGCATGCCTATAATCCCAGCAGCTCGGGAAGCTGAGGAAGGAAGATGGCAAGTTCAAAGTCAGCTTCAGTAACTTAGTGAGACCCTGTCCCAAAATAAAAAATAAAAAGAGCTGGGGATGTGGCTCAGTGGTAAAGGACCCCTGGGTTCAATTTCTGGTTAAAAAAAAAAAACATTAACAGAATCAAGAGATGGCAAATCATCCAGATATTGGAATTATCAGGCACAGCATTTAAAAAGTATTTTTTAAATATTTATTTTATCTATTTATTTTTATATGGAGCTGAGGATCAAACCCAGTGCCTCACACATGAGGCAAGCGCTCTAACACTGAGCCACAACCCCAGCCCCATGGCACAGCATTTTAAAAAACTATATAGGAAGAAATTCAATGCCCCAGAAACAAGTGAAAAGATATCCAACCTCAAGAGTAACAAAGGAAATGCAAATTAAATCCTTGATGAAATACCAATTCATACTTGTCAGATTGACAAAAAAAGTTTTAGATTGACATTCCCAGTTTGGCAATACCTCATATGTGCATGGAAACGTGCATAGCTTCCATTTCTAGATTTTACCCTAGAGAAATTCTGATGCGTGTAATCCAGATGTGGACCAGAATGTTCATAGCAGTGTTATTCGTAAGAGAAAGAAAATAAACTGGAAATAACTCTAATGCTTACTCATATTAAAATGAATAAATGTGGTGTGTTCACACAATGCTGTGCTACAAAAGAGCAGTGCAAATGAATGAACCTGTTGGCATCAACATGAAAAAACTGCAAATATATTATTGAAAAAAAAAGAAGTCATATGAGAATACATGAAATATGAGTCCATTTATATAAGATAAAAAGGTAAACATTGTTTAAAGATACATACAATCTTGATAAAATGAAAGGCAAGGAATAATTATCATGAAGTTCAGGCCAGTGGTTGACTGGGTGGGATGGGAGCAAGGACTTATAACGAAGGCAGGGCAACTGAGGGGTCTCTAAAGTACCTGGTAATTCATTTTCTTAATCTGGGTAGTGGTTACAAAGGTGTTCACTTATCATTCTTCTTTAAAATATACATTTTTACTCAGGAGTCTGAGACAGGGGGATTGCTTGAGTCTAAGAGTTCATGCCAACCTGGGCAACATAATGAGACCCAATAACGACAACAAAAAATATATTTTATACACAGTTTTGCATATGACATATTTCACACACACACAAAAAAAGTAAATAAGGAATTCTCTTTACAGTCCTTCTTTAACCATGGAACGTGCTGCTAAAATGCTGTGCTGTTCACATTCTCAATGCCAGCTTCTTTAGCCATAGAATAAAAGGGGCCGTAGTTTTCCAGCAGTTCTTCTGGACTGCCATACTCCACAATCTTCCCATCATCTAGGACCATTATCCTGAAACAAAGAGGAAAGAAATAAAAGCCTTAGAAAGTACCATCTCAAGATGAATGGTGGCACACACCTGTAATCCCAGCAGCTCGGGAGATTGAGGCAGGAGGATTGTGAGTTCAAAGCCAGCCTCAGCAAAAATGAGGTGCTAAGCAACTCAGTGAGACCCTGTCTCTAAATAAAATACAAAATAGGGCTGGGGATGTGGCTCAGTGGTTGAGCACCTCTGGGTTCAATCCCCTGTACCAAAAAAGAAAAAGAAAGTAGCATCTCAAATCTTGGCATTAATAAGAATAACCAGGACTAGGTTGTAGTATAGCCTGACGAGGCTCCCCAAAGCAGTGGAAATGAATGAACCACAGCTATGGCATCAACATCTACATGTAATACTGAGTCATAGAAGCATATGTGCACATGAGTCCCTTTATATCAGGTCTTTCTTTTTTTCCCAAAGTACACATTGTTTGAGGATGACTGATTTTAAAAGAGAGTCTTCCCCTGGGTCAGAAAAGGAAGCCTTTCCTCTCTAGCTTCTAAGACTATTGACCAGCGAGGGTAAGATGCCAGAGCAGGAAGAAACAGACACTTCCAGTCATTTTACAGGGCAGCAGCTGAGGCCCAGGATAGGGAAGGTCTATGGTCAACATGTGCCACTCATAGGTTGGGCTGCCACCTCCTCATATTCAGTTAATAATTATAATTTCCTATTTTACTTTCAAGATGGTCCCCATGACCCAGTTAGCTTTCATAATTTGATGTGTAATTCTGGCCAAAATTTCTTGAAATCTCTAGGCCTCAGTTTCATCAGTAAAATGATGGTGGTCATCCCTTCTATTCTAAGGTATTCCGTGGCTGACGTGGTCACCACTGACCAAGGGTTACCCCTCACTCACTTGTTACTGTCCATGATGGTATGCAGCCGGTGGGCAATAGTGATGACCGTGCATTGGGAGAACTCATTTCGGATGGTTGTCTGAATGAGCTGATCTGTCTCTAGATCCACCGCAGCTGTAGCCTCATCCAGGATCAGAATCTTGGATTTCTGAAGCAGAGCCCTGCCCAGGCACACTAGCTGCCTCTGACCCACACTGTCACCAACAGAAGAAACCATGAATTATCCCCTGAGCACCAAGGAAAATCCTGAGACAGGGACAGTTTCATGTTCCAGATTAGACTTTTCAAAACTCCCATTCCAAATTTCCCCATCCATTATAGTTGTGAGCAACAATTTTCAAATTTTCCCAATTAGAAGTACCACAGGAACTTAATTAAGAAAAAAAAAAAAATCGTGCTTTTGGCCTTCACTCCACCCAGTCAGAATGGGGGAGAGGCCTAGGTACATATGAGTTTAATAAGTACCCCAGGCAATTTTCATGTTATACAAGTTTGGAAAACACTGGCCCCAAAACAGTGCTTTGCATTTGGCTACAGTGATAGCAATGACCATTGCAAAACAACAGGAATGCTACCAAGTTTATTTCAGCAGTATTTGATCTGACACCATTAATATAGGGTGGTCCTGCACTAGAATGCCCCAGTGGCATTTCTTTGCGGCCTTAGCAAATCCATTCATTATTTTAATGTGTAATTCTAGTCTCAAGGCTAATTATTTGTTCAAGGCCTTCTGCCTTGATTAGAAACAAAGCAGTCTAATGAACACAATGTCTTGGGGTGAGGTGCAATGTATGTGGAATTCGAACATGCTTGTAAAATGCAAATAACTGTAATTTGCTAAAAGTCTGTAATGAAGGCTGGACCTCTTACTTATATAAAGAAGCTTTGGGAAATGATGTGAAGGAAATATTCAGGAATTTGCTAATTGTTCTTTCCTGCTGTGGCCATTAGGGAACATATTAAACAGAGGGTGGCTAGACTAAAGTTCTGTAATTTTCTGTAAGAAAATTTCTGCAGGAGATGAGAAGTCACCCAAGATGAACTTCCAGTATTTGTCTGTAATGTAAGATCAGAGACACTGCAAAACTGGCTACTGAGTTTGTACCAAACTCCAGCCTGAGTCAATTGGACTGTGTCGAGGTATCACTTTGGCTTTCAGCAGCTCTCTCCACACTGATATATCCAGCATTCACCACAGATATTTGTTTTAATTCCCCAAACCAGGACTGAAATCAAGGTATTAGCAATACCACTTGATTATCTCCTAGCATGAACAAGAAAAGTGTGGTGTGATTTTTATTCTTATAAAACAGAAGTGTTGCTTTCACATTAGTGTCCTGCATGTCTCCTCTGCAATATTGTTAGCAGTGGCATTTATTCCCACAGGTCTGTCTCCTCCATTTTACTGTACATGCTAGGAAGTCAGGAATTATGTGTGCGTCACTTGCCTCTGTATCTCTAGTGCCCGGCACATAGTAGGTGCTTATAGCCTATTTGTTGACTGGATGTTTGAATAGTCTTACATCAACCTAAAGACCTGATGAAGTCCTGCTAGTCCTGAAGGAAAACAACATTAATGGTGCTTACTACCAAGCCTTGCAAGTGTCCCCTGGGTAAAATCAGCTGGGGCATTGGATTTGTTAAGTTCCCTGGGTGATTCTTGCAGCTCAGTTGAGAGGCAATGCTCTAGGAATTGCTTCATAAGCTGCAACATGCACACAAAACACTTGGCAATCTTGTTAAAGTACAGATTTGGATTAGTAGGTCCAGGGTTTGAGATTTTACACTTAAAACAAGCTCTCAGGTGAATCCAGAGCTCTTCCTTCCTCCCTGAGCTTCAACCAATAATGACCCATCCCCTGCCTCCCACTATCAAGGCACCTGGGGCAAGAACTGTCCAGTAGCATCAGGCTGGAATTCTGTGTGCAAAGGGAAAAACCAGATTGTTACAGAGAAAAGACCAGGTTCACATATTAATGGACAGATGACTATATAGTGATGGCTAGAAGTAAAATTGCAGCATATACAAAAATACTTGGAAACAGGAAAAAGAACTGGGACAGCACAGAGTTTTGTGTGGATTGAAAGTATTTTAATATTGCATTAGGACTTTGTAAACGCTACATCCCTATCATCCATGTGCCCTTTAGATCAGCAGTTCTCAAACTGGGATGCCCTTAGCAGACTGTGAGGACACTTTAAGTCTCCCTATATCCAATCTGCACCTCACACTAATTAAACCAGACTCCAGGGTGGGACTAGGTATTAGGACCATTTTAATCCTGCTTGCTGTATACAGCTAAGTTGAAAATCTCTGCTTTCTGTGATTCTCCACAATAGTGGCACCTGTAAGCTCACACTGTGTACTGTCACATGAAGGCACATTTAAAAACCCAGGTTTTCACAAGTTTAAAGCACTTTCACATCTATGTTATCATGTGATCTTCAGAACAGGTTCATTTTATGTGTTAGAAATTAGACCCATACAGTGAAAACTCCACAACATCCGATATCACCTAACACAGGGAACAAGAGGAGGGTCCCCTCTCCTCTCACTGTCTGTGTGAGAGGTAGGTTATGAGACATTACCTCAGGTTGTCACCAGCCTCTGTCACTTCATGGGACAACCCAAGTGGCAGGCCAACCACAAAGGGTTTGAGGTGAGCCAACTCCAGGGCCTTCCAAATCTCCTCATCTGAGTATTTGTTGAAAGGGTCCAGATTCATCCTCAGACTTCCAGAGAACAAGATGGGATCCTGCAAGTTAAGGGGTGAGGGAGCAGTTACGGTTAATATCAGCAAAGGACCCAGTTGTTCTTTGTGACAGGGAGAAAGCATGTCCATCTGACCTGAGATGGACACCTACCTTAGTCAGGAAACTGGTTCATGGTTGAGTTTTTCTCTTTATTTCTTTAACTATTTTTTTTTTTTTTTGTACAGGGAATTGAACTCAGAGGCATTTAACCATGAAGCCATATCCCTAGCACCCCCACCTTTTTTTTTTTCCAAGAGACAGGGTCTCCCTGAATTGTTTGCTAAATTGCTGAGGCTGACTTTGAACTTGCAATCCTCCTGCCTTAGCCTCTCAAGCTGCTGGGATTACAGGCGTGTGCCACTGCACCCGGCATGGTTGAGCTTTGTTTCAGTACAATGGGTTGAACTCATGTACTAGTGCATGTACATGAGTACATGTACTAGGCAAGCGCTCTTCCACTTGATCTACAACCCAAGTCCATCTTTTTAAATATTTTTGTTTTCCAGACAGAGTTTCACTAAATTGCCCTGGCTGGCATTGAACATGGAATACTCCTGACTCCGGCTCCTGAATAGCTGGGGTTACAACAGTATGCCACCACACCCAGCATGTTCAAGCTTCTGCAAGTCCTTTGAAAGCCTGGAACAGGTGCTAACCAGGCAGCTAAGCATAGGATGAAGAAAGATGCTTGGTTTGTTGCTATTTTGTTTCTTTCTGAGATTCAGTTATGAATTTCCAAACTTACTATAGCACTATTTACAATGAGAGGAATATCCCTCTCCCAAATGAAAACTTGTGATTTAGAGGTAGAGGGATCAGGGAATGGTACAGAAATAGATAGTAAAAACCCCTGCATAGCATTTATTATGCTTTGAGGGCGCCAGAGAAAAGAGTGAATCAAACTAAGCAAACCCCAGACAAATCAAATTTACCTCCCGAGAAATGTGGCTAGAGTGAGCAGAGGGAAGGTTCTAAGGAGGAGCCACATACCACTGGAGAGGAGAGGCCTCCATGGAGACACTTATGTGTAGGGTCCATAGAACAAGCCAATGGGTCTTTCTTGCTGACACACTAAGTGTTTTGCTTGCTGGCAAAAATCTGCAGCAAATTCCCTCCGCTGTCCTTTAACCATATCAAATGGGGAGTATAAAGCTTAATAGCGTCAAGCTTCAGTGGCAAAACTGCTAATGCTGATTGCCAAGGTCTTGCAAACCTTGATGGGCTATAGAAATGCTAAATAATCATCTGCTCTATTTGACTTCTGTTGTGTTGCTGCCACCTACTGGTCAGATACCAGCAGTCACAAATGCATATTACACAAAAATTGAAGACTTTAGCTTGGGTATTCTGAGTAGAGTGCAGGAATGATACTGCTAATTGAACAGGTATCAACATGCTTCCTGAGAACAAGATGCCTCACTGTGTGTGCCCAAGTAAGTTCTAGAGCTCACCTGTGGGATGATGGTCAGTTTTCCTCTAAGGTCATGGAGCCCAATGGAAGCAATATCTATTCCGTCAATGGTTATCTGGCCACCTGCAGACTCTAAGATTCTAAAGAGGCAGTTTGTGAGGGATGACTTCCCAGCTCCTGTCCTGCCCACCACACCAACCTGTGAAAATAGTTGCATGTTAGTTTAACATACAATTCATGGAGAAAAGATTATTTAGCTTGGACTAAAAAATTATTTAGCTTCAATCACAGGTGTTAAGTGGCAGTGATTGGCTACTTCATCTCTGAGATATTAAATTATTTTTTTTGTTTTGTTTTGTTGGGAGAAAAATGTGCCCAGATGTCAGGAAAAAAAAAAAAAAACAAAACAGCTCTCCCATCCTACATCATAGGTTATTGCTTGCTGAAAACTACAATGACGAGTAGAAATGGACACACTCAGCAGCTGTTGATGTTATAATTATTATTGGAAATTAAGAACTTCTTAAAAAAAAAGCTTTACTTGGAAGTGGGGAGAAGGGAAGGATGGTCCTGCCAACCAGCTGAGAGCCAGACCCTGATTTGGAACTCTGCATTCTTACCCAGGTTTTTGTTGTTGTTGTTGTTTCTACTTTAGACCCCAAATCCTTGGAGAACAAGAGCACCAGAGGAGGATGCCCAACTTTGAAGACCAGCAGAAGAAGTAGGCCATTCTCTAGAGACAACTCTCAATGCTAATGTTCCTAACAATTCTTTCCCTAGGCCTGATACTCCCTTGTGTCCTCCCTGACATCCTTGCTACCAGCTGTGAATTTCCAGGAACTGAGTCCTGGTCAGCTGGAGGGATGCAGAAAATCTCTGGCTGGTATCACGCCCTCTGGTGGTGGTGGTGCTGTATCCCCACGTGTCTCCAGGGCCAGGAACCTCTCCCTCCACCCAAATGAGGAAGGGCTGGAGTCTAGCTGCTCTCCATTCTGTGTCCTACTGTCCTGTATCACAAGGCCTCACATCCAGCCTTCCCTTGTGCCACTTACCTTCTCGGTGCTCTTGATGTCACAAGTGATCCCTTTCAGTACCAGATTCAGCTCCGGCCGGTACCGTACTTGGTAGTTGCTAAACCGGATCTCCCCTTTGTTGGGCCAATCTGCTGGAGGCCTCTTATCAGTCACCCAGGGTGCCTGGCAAGGGGACAGGATGAGAAGTGCTTTACACAGTGGTAGTGCAGCTGAACAGTCCTCATGGGACTCAAGTCACAAAATAGGTAGCAATGTCCCAGCCACCTGACTGAACCAGACTTGGTCTCCCAGAAGGTTTCTACCGTGTTCAATTAAAGAAATCCTGTCCCAGAAGGTTGCTCTATGGATCTCCAGAAAGAAGCCACCATTTAACTTGGTGCCTTACAAGACCTGACTTCCCCCAAACCACTTCGTATTGTAAGTTTGAAGTAATTAGGTCAAGTGGGAGCAAAGGAAACATTTTTTTTAAAACATTATGAACCCATGTGAATGGAGATGCACTTTCTTTTTTTAAAATATTTTTATATTTTAGAATATTATCTTTTGAATAGGTGTCTCCTTTTTTTAAGAGAGAGAGAATATATCTTTTTTTTTTTTGTAGATGGACACAACACAATGCCTTTATTTACTTATTTATTTTTATGTGGTGCTGAGAATTGAACCCGGGTCCCGCCAGTGCTAAGAGAGCGCTCTACTGCTGAGCCACAATGCCAGTCCAAGGAGATGCACTTTCAAAGGAGCTGCATGGGCCTGGTCTCTGGGTTTCTCAAATTCCTCCTTACCTCGTTTTCCACATTGATGTACTCATTTATTCGCTCTACAGCCACAATGTTGGTCTCTGTTTCCGATGTCATCCTCACTAGCCAGTTCAGGGTTTGTGTGATCTACAGAAAAACCAGAAGACTAAAAAATCATCCTGGCTCAGATATCAGCTCAATCAGTTAATCCAGGGCTCACTTTGTGCTCAGCACTGTGGTGGGCTCCGTGAGAGAGCGAGGAAGTCAGTCCTGGTGTCTTGAGGGTTGGGTAAGACCAGTAGGCTGAATGGCTGGAGAACAATTAAGTGCTCCACTGTGGCCTCCCATGAGGGGCAGTGTGAGCTTTGAATGGTTGGGGGCTAACACGGGGATTGAAGTGGAATCAGAACTTAGGCCTTCTGCCTGTCAGCTTCCTGCTTTTTGTAGAAGGGGTTGCAGATGGAATTCTACAAACGGAGAACATGAGAAAAGCTGGCTGCTCTCTCTGTTCTTGTTCAACCTTGACCTCAAAGGTGGGACATCCATGTGGATCCTCTAGAGGCCAGGGGTTACTCAGCTGTGAGCTTCTTTCAGAGAAAAAAAATGGGAGTTTGCACATATGCACAGGGGATTTTTGTGGAGTGAATGATGGTTAGAGAAAGGGAGCCACAGAGTACAGAGGGGAGGAGCATGAAGACTAAGAGTGACAACTTTGTGTAGGTTGAACCATTCCTGATTTTTTTGTGGGGGGCGGCTCAATTTAATGGTTTCCTGATTCTTTGTCTTATTTGTCTTGGGGGATAAAGGGGCAAAGTCACAAGCAACCAAGTGACTCAGGTGGATAACAGAGTACTTTTGGATGCTCTGGCAGGATCACTGTGGGTCTTATTAACTTCTAATGAAGACAGCGCTGTTTAAAACACCCTTGGGGCTATGCAAGCCTCTAAATGTTAGTTCAAAGAGATACCATGAAAGATGGTCAAATGATTTACTTATTGAACAAATATTTATTGAAAAGTTACTGAAGGGCCAACTACTGTCTTAGATGCTAGGAAACGATAATGTCTGGCATTTATCCCCAGTCATGCTGGGGGTGGTGCTGTGAGATACATTATATGGTTTTTCAGACTATTACTGTTAGCTCCAGTTGTTCTGTGATGTAAGCACAAACTTACATCACAGAATTATTTGTCCAAAGGACTTTCTGATTACTGCTATATTCTAGAGGAGAAATTTAATTATCTCTTTTTAACAGAACCAACCAAAAGCAAAAACACAGGAGAATATTAAATTGAAACATAAGTTGCCTTCTTAAGCCCTAAGGACAACAACATTTATGTCTTTTTTTTTTTTTTCTTTTCTTGCAGTACTGGAGTTTGAACCCAGGTACTCTTTACCACTAAACCATAGTCCCATATTTTGAGACATGGTCTCACCAAGTTGCTGAGGTTAGCCTTGACCTTGTGATCCTCCTGCTTCAGCCTTCCAAGTAACTGGGGTTACAGGTGTGTGACACCACAACCAGCTTATTTTTGTCCTTTTCCTAAGTGATATAGTGCCTTCTTGAGTAGGGTAGGGGTAAGAAAGAGATGGAGCCAGGGCTCAAATCTCAGTTTCTCCTAGTTTCAACTGTACAATATACTCCAGATTCAGTTTAAGAATAAGTGTATGAATTTACTCAAACACCCAGTCTTCAAACTCACATTGAGGGCATTGGACAGAACTAAGCCCACAGTGTCCCCATTCAGGGTGTCTTTATAAATAACCAGCAGCAAGGCAGAAAAGAAGATAATCAAGTTCCCAGTCAGCTCCAGGCGAATTGCAAGCCACCTGCAGGGCAACAGAACCAGAGAGAGAGGTGTCACCGATCTCTACTTCCTTACCTTGACCAGTACCCTGGGGCTCACAGAACATTCTCAGAGGGTGTGATTTGGTAGGGCTGTGCTCTGAGAAGGTGCCACAATTTGATCTAGGAATATCTGAATATATTCCTAAAAGTCCTTTAAATTGTTTTTTTTTTTAAGATAATAAATGGCATGTTAAAGGTCTGAGAAGAGTTTACTAACTAAGGGATCCTATAGTACAATTTCTCCCAAAGTCACCAAATTATAAGAAAAGCAATTGTTGGGGAAGGGAGGGGGGATAGTAGAGGATAGGAAAGGCAGCAGAATACAACAGACACTAGTATGGCAATATGTAAATCAATGGATGTGTAACTGATGTGATTCTGCAATCTGTATACGGGGTAAAAATGGGAGTTCATAACCCACTTGAATCAAAGTGTGAAATATGATATATCAAGAACTATGTAATGTTTTGAACAACCAACAATAAAAAATTAAAAAAAAAAAGAAAAGCAATTGTTAAAAACATTACATTATAGATTCATGTGAAAAATTCCTGGACCCTTCCCTAGGAGATTTTGGTTCAGGAGCCTAGGATATAGTTTAAGAGTGTGCATTTTAAGCGAATGCTATAAGTGATTTCTTTTGATCAAGCCAAGAAAGCAATGCCATAGTGAATCCAGATGTATGGTTAAAAACAAGCACCACACGAAGATTCAGTGTACCCGATCTGACTTGAGTATTTTTACGAGGCAGAGAAGCTAGGAGTGGAGGGAAGTTAAGTGTGAATTCCATCACAGGGAGATATAGGGGGATTTTGTAGAGAACTACAGAATACATGTAATATAGACATGGCTTATGAAAGTTGACTTTCTCAAATAAAATGGAAGTTTGCACAAATGATTCTAGCATGTGTACAAATAAATATGGTACATATTTCATCATGGGGGTCCAATAAGATTTACTTATATTCCTTTTCCTTTTTAGAAAGCCTGTAAGAAATCAAATATCTTTATGATCAAATCTCTGACCTCCCAATGTTTCAAATAACACTGACCATCATTTACCTACCCTCAATACCAAGATACTTTGGAAGCTACTCAAGAATTGTTCCTTCCTGACAAGACTGTTCTCCTTCAAGCACATTGCTTCCCAGGGTCTGATGATGCTCACAGTGCTCAGGGATTTGCCTCACAGGATGTGAGCTTTCCATTTCTGCCATCAATAGATTTACCTAAAAATTCTCAACTCTCCTCTCTCCAACCTCTACTGTTTTCACCACCGTAAAAAAAAATATCATGTCTATGGAGAATCTCTTATACATTCTCAAGGAAGCAAGTGGAGAATGTTCAGTTTATCCAGGGCTTATAGATGGGCTACCAAATGCTCAGAAATGGCGTTTGACTTCCACCACAACCCTATCAGTCAAGTTGTGTCCTAGCCATTGTGAAAGCAAAGGGACTTAAATTTTCCTTAGCAAGGTCAAGCAATTTACTTAGCATGGTAAATGGCAGAGCTGGCCTAGGGACCCAGTCTCTGGTGCTAAAGCTCATGATTTTTTCTACTACATAGCATGACAGGTGTGTGTGGCCAAAATGAGCTTTACACCCTGGTCATGCCTGTCCTCCCTTGCATGGCTAATGACAAACATGCAGAGCCTGGAAGTACACATTTGGAATCATACCTGGGAAAACCTCACCTGTTGGATATAATCCAGGAAAAGACACATTTTTGATTGGTGTCGATCCCCACCTCATTTTGTTTTTTAAATCGCTTCTGGTGCTCAAATGCACGGATAACAGGCAAACCTAATACGGTTTCACTGAAATGAGAATAGATGGGGGATCTGGTGACAGAGTCCAGACGTCTCAGCTGGCGGGAGGTAGCCACATAAAATACCTGAACACAAAAAGTGAAGAATCAACCACATAATCCTGTTGCATATCCTGTACATCTTCCCTCTGGACATGACCCAACATTCCTCACTGGGGACCCAGCCCACATCTGAACATGAAGGAAACCTGAATCTTTGGCTAGAAGAAGGAGGAAAGAGGCCCAAAGAAGAGGGCAATAGAAAGACTGCAGTTGGTGGGGAATAGAGGAAGATAAAAGTGAGGAGACCACACCTTAGTCTCAGGGGGTTTATTCTCCCCCTGACATCTGCATATGTTATCCAAATGAAAGTTTCTATGCTGGTTACATAAATGGTCTACAAAAGGATTTTGTAAAGGATATCTGGACCTAAGGAATTTAAAGTGGGGATGGGCAAGAAATGGCCAGAGAAAGGAATACAAGGTATGAGCAAAACTGAAGAACAGAATCAGTTGAGTAACCAAAATCATGCCTCAATAGTGTGTGAAGGTAAAATAGTTTTGGAAATGTGCAGAATGTTGAGGGTGTCAGAATGAGCTGGATATAATAGAATGCAGAAAGAATCTCCATGGCTTAAAGGGCAAGGAATGATGGAATAGAATCTTAGTGCTATTGGATTCTGTGAGGATTTGTTGAAACCTAAGAATAACTGGGCATTTGAGAGTTATTTGATAGAATGCAAAATGTTATATCTGGAAGTTTCCTCAAATAACCCTGCCTCTTATTTGCTGAATTGTAATGGGCTGTCAGAAGGCTATTATGAAGACGCTGGTGCACCTGTGGAACTCCATAGACCCAAACGGGTGCCATCTTACTACAGATCACAAGGTCATAAGCCCCCCAGACTGTAGAGTCTTCAAAATTGTTTGACCTAGGTTAAGAATTCATCACAAAGGCAGCTAGTGGGACAAAAGCTCTTCTCACAGCTTCCCTCTCCTCATCAGTTTTTATTATGGCCATTTTAAAATCCCTTCTAGTTTTTTTGTGAAGCTTGGCTCCCAAGCTATCTGTTCCCTTAAAAAATATGTTGAAACTGAGCCTAAACCATCCAGAGATACCCCAGTGAAACTAGAAGTGCCCTGAAATGAAGAGATCTAGCTCCTGCTAACAGACATCTCTAAGTAAAGCTGCCTACCCAAAATCAAAAGAGGAAGCAGCCATGACAAGTTCTTCTAGAAATGTCCTAACATCATGGAGTTCTTATGGAGCTGCAAGAAGTTGTCCAGAGCTAATCTCAGAGTGGTCTTGAATCTAAACATAAATCCATTCCACTTAAGGTTCTGGGGGGTAGGTAGTCAGGCTGTGAAATGCTGTGAACCATAATGTACCAGTTGATGCTGACAATTGAGCTTCAGACAGTGGCCTGTGGGCTCCTGGGTATCAAGATATATGATGAAATGGCAAAGATGCTGGAGAGAAGTGACTAGCCACAAACAAAAGAGAGGAGTCTCAGAAAGGATCCTGGCTTTAATGAGCAGAGAGAAAGGCAGACCTACCCATTTCCAAATGTACCTGAATAGACACATAAATAATGCCAAGAGGAATGACGATGACGACAAAGATAGGGGTGGCCATGCAGATCATGACGATGATGCTGATTATCGACAGGAAGCACACAATCCAGCTGCGCAAGGACTGAGGGAGAGTGTCATCCACCGTGGAAATATCCTAACAATACAGTTAGGACAGACGATGAACCAATGAATTTTTTAGACACTGTATATCTTCCTGGTTCCAGAGAGGCATCTGTTCAATTCTGGGTTTCTTGACACTCCTTCATTTAATCTTGTTAAGATATTCATTTGCAATCGATTATACTACTCATCCTAATAAGAAATCTCATTTCTATAGCTTCCTCAGTTTTTAAAGTACCTCCAGACAGACCCAGCAGTCATTCCTCACCTTTTCCAGTACAGTTGATAAAAGTTTTCACTCATCATCCATCAAATTTATTAAACAATTCATAATTATTATAAACCAATAGAGGCTTATAATCATTCTCTAATAACTAACCAATTGAGCTATTCTAACCTTATAAAGGTCCTAATTCTATGGAGTACCTAGAACAGAGACTGGGATTCAATACACATTTGTTGGGAAACTCCAGTTAACAAACCCTGTCACCCACCCTTGACTGAAGTACCATCCTCTCCTGGAAAGTTGTTTCCTCTGCCAAGCATAGAACCTCAGGGGAAAGGGATTGAACATGATTCCTGACTGGCCAGAGTTCCAGCTAAGGAACCTAGAGGTGATAGAGGGGTCTTACTGCCATATTGTTCTCATGCAAAATAAAATTTAAAATGATAAGATTAATGGATGGAAGGATGGTTTGGAGCATACTCAGGAAGCCTGGCTTATATATTAGGTTGCCCTTGCCTAGCTTTCTTAGAGGATTATATTGATTCTATCTGTGAGTGCTAAGGTGAGTCTAAATTATCTCTGGAGTTTCCCCAGATTGGGTCAGGGATAATATTCTTCCAGGATAACTCTGAATTGGGGATGACTCCTGAGTCTAATCTACCTTTCCCAAAGTTATATCAGAATGCAAATATGTAACTATGTCAAGAGTTGGCAAAAAACAAGAAATCTTCACCAGCTATCAGTTCTATGCAGATCACTTTTGATCCTTACCTAGCACAGATTCCCCATCTTCCTTTCCTCCACTCTTTCTCCTCTTAAGGACTCAGCCACTGATTCTAGAAAACCCTAGATCAAAATCCCCCTTTATAAGCTTGAGCCACCTCCCCTGCAAAACTTACTATATGATTAATGATAGTTTTTTTTTCATGAAAAGCAGTCAGCAAAATATGACTATAGTTTAACTAACTCACACGTTCTCTTTTCCAGAAGATTAATTAGATACCTTGACATGGGGAAGACTATGCAATCTTTGCAAAATCCCCATCCAAAAGTTTTTGCTTGCTTAGGTTCCATTTAGAGAAGAGAGTCCATGGAAGTGGTCTCCAATGACAGTGTGCTCCTCATTTCTACCCCACAGGAAGGTGACAAATGGGAACCAGTTACCTGCCCACTTTTGAAGTGGTTGCTGTTATCTCTAGAACCTGGTCTACGGTATGAGCTACCCTTCCTGTGTCTGTTCCAAGGCCAAACAAAAAATGGTTCAGAGCTTCTCAGACATTTTATAAAATGAATTTTCAAGTAAAGAAATAAAAAATTGTGCTGATGCTTGAATATCCTTCAGAATTGCCTGGTCTCTGCCGCTATTCCTGAAACTTGCACTCACATGCATTAAAAAATTCAGTGAATTAGGTCTGGTTCATGGTTCATAGTCATCTATGATCTTAACATTTATTGAGTGCCTAGTGCAGTACTTGGCTCCATAAAAAGGCACTCAGTAAATGTTGGATGAATGAACGCATGCCAATGGTTCCAGCATCTGTGGTAGATGGAAACAAAGTTTGAGAACCTCCTTAAAACATAGATAGCTTGGGGCTGGGGATGTGGCTCAAGTGGTAGCGTGCTCGCCTGGCATGCGTGCGGGCCCGGGTTCGATTCTCAGCACCACATACAAACAAAGATGTTGTGTCCACCAAAAACTAAAACAAATAAATAAATATTTAAAAAATTCTCTCTCTCTCTCTCTCTCTTAAAAAAAAAACATAGATAGCTCTAATCCACATTCAGACCTCACTCCCTGGTTCTTAAATCATCAAAGATGGAAGCTTCAGGAATGACAGCAGATATGAAGCAAAAGATGATCCGCCTATCACTTTTATTCACTGTCACAAGCAGTGACAGTGCTGTTAATTATGCTTTTCACTCAGCACAATAATCCTTCTTACCCTGGTTCTACTCCCCTCAACAACCCCCATCAGCTCTCTGGTTTACTTCTATGATTGAACTCAAGTCTCACCTTTTCTGACATTTTCCATTTCAGTCATCCAGGTTGAGCTACTATCTCATTTCTCCATCATTCCTTTGTACTCCCAGAACACCTGTACACACTGTGGTTACTGGTTTCACCATATTCTATCATAATCCTTTATGTTTTGGGCTGTCTCCTCATTAGATGTGAGTGACAGAAGGGTCAGAGCTCTATCCCTGTATCCCTAGGATCTTTAGGACTTCATAGGAGGTGCTTAAGAAATATTTGCATGCTGAGAGGGCAAAAGAACAGTCTAGGGGGTACACAAGAATTCCTTCTTATCAGAAATAGAAAGATCCTCAGTATATAAACACATCACTGTATAGCCCTTGAGATACTTACACCAGTAAACCTGTTCACAATCCGGCCTGTAGGTGTTGTGTCAAAAAAACTCATGGGTGCTCGAAGGATATTGTTCAACAGTTGTTCGTGCAAGATTTTTGATGCATGGTTGCAACCATACACACTCAAGAAAGTTCCTATAAATACAGATATACCTAGGAATGGAACCAAATTTTGTTAGCACCATACATGGAAATCCCTAAAGATTTATGCCCAGGACAAGCAAAGTACAGGCTGTTGTAGCTGTCAGACGTACCTTGTGCTATTCCCAGAGCTGCATAGACCCCAATTCTCATTTCCCTCTGAGAGGCTGGATAGTTAGTGCCATTGAAGGCTTGAGAGTCACCAGTCCAAGAACTGAGCCAGAGATTGGATCCAATAAAAGCCACAGAATTCAATACGAAGGCAAAGATGATGCAGAATATTGAACACCATCCTACTGCTTGTAAGTACTTCAGGTAGATGGAGAACTTCACCTGCAAAGCCCCCACCAATGTTAGTAGATGCCCTAATGTGGTTTTTTGTTGTTGTTGGAATTATCTAAAAAAACAATCACAAGGAGGAGTGGATGCTCTTGGGAAAATTTTGCAAGTAGCCAAATTTGGTAATCTGTGGTCATCATCCCTGCACTGGGCCAGGATAAGAGATCCATGTTGAATTGCAATGCAGGGTAAACAGCCATCTGATTATTAATGAACATCTAGAGGGAATTAAGAGTAGCAAGTATAATTTGGAATTTGTTTTAAGTCTCATTGATTTTGAATTGTGTGCTCTGGGTCTGCTACATTAGTTTCCGGGCTTCTAGAACAACATCTCAAAACAGTTTTTTGTTGTTCTCTACATATCAGAATGGGAATCTAGCACTCATGAAGGATGGAGTGAGGATATTTACGGGAACATGTCATTTTCATAGAAGGCCTACAGCCTGTGTTGTTTTAATAATGAATCTGAAGAATTACAAAAGAATTGAACATATTTTCCCGAAGATAAGTAATCGAGTTTAAACTGATTTTTAAAATGTTCAGATTCTAAACCCTATATCCCCTCCCATGGTGCTTTTATTGGTGTGGTGTTCACCTTTCCAGTTTCCATGAATTCCTTCTTAATTAGCTTTTGCCCTTGTACTACTCCTTCCTTCCCCTTCAGGGCATTCCCATTCCGACTTTTCAAGGAGTTTTTCAGGGTTTTTGGGTTCCGGACACTGGACCTGGAGCTGAGAGACAGAGAGAGGGAGACTCCCCTGAGCATGTAGATGCTTCCTCCGAGTCTTCTTGCAAACTGAGGTCACAGTCACTGTGCTGGCATGGAAGCAGATGGCTGTGGGAAATGGACACAAGCCTAGCCCTTCATATAAGGAAACGAAGGAAGAGCTAGGAGGGCCCATGGCATCCCTCTTCTCAGTAAAAGCCCACAGAGAAAAAGAGATCAAGCAGAAATAGGAAGTGATAAAGGCTGCCAGCTGGATCAGTGGTGTACCTGCGGCTCAGGGTTCGACGGAGGCTATTCTCTCTTTTCATGGTCAAGGAGGCGGCTTCCTCAGGGAGTTCCTCCACACCAGCTATCAGCCCACTGTCGTCATTTTCTTCTTCACTATCATCATTGACTAGAGAGACACGTTAGAGGTTAGGGAAACGGCACAGTGTTCACAGAGAAGAAACAGACAGAATAAGGACAGAGAAGCCTTCTCTGATCTTGTTGGATTCAACACAGGGATCCCAGATATACAAACAGGCTACAATAGGAGAAGAAAAGCCCAGAGACAAAAATTCCTTTGGAGCAGGAAAGAACTTTTAAGAATTATTGTAGATAAACAGAAGAGTCGCCATTCCCAGAATTGCCTAAAGAGATGATTATAAATTGGAAATGCTAATCTCGAAGTTCAAAGAATATAAGAAGCTCTTATTTATTGAAAACATTTTAAAAAGCATACCCTGAAAGTAAAATAAAATGTAAAATATAATATGGAAATTAGTGGAAATAGTAGAATAAGGATCTCCGGAAATCTGTTCCTCCAAAAAAGCAATGAGAATACTGTTAAAAAACATTGTCAGAATAAACTGTTTCAGAACTCTGAAATTAACCAAAGAGTTGCAACAATAAAAGATCAATTATTTTTTTAAATGACTGGGTCTTGGCAAAAACAGTCCACCTTATAGTGGTTTAAGTTGCCCTATTTCCATTTCTTTCTCTCCAGTTGCTGTATCCTAGAAAGCCAACAGCCATAAAATTATGGTGGCCATAAAACCTAGCAGCCCAGCAGCCACTTAAGGAAATAGAGTAAGTTTAGAATGCCTCCTCCCCTTAAAAAAAACAAAACAAAACAAAACCCAAAAAAAACACTGGCGGTGAATTGCCATTATCTCACCTGTCTAGAACTCCCTGAAAACCTCCATTCACAAGACTTGTCTTTATTTGACCTCAGAGCTAGTTCAAACAATCAGCAGCAACTGTTTAACATCACACATGCCTGAGGGGATGGTAACAGTTGAGGCAAATAAGAAACTGATCAAAAAATTAAATGGAAAATTTGGGGAATGAGATGTCCTCCACAGAGGACTTTGATACCTCTGATATATTCCTGGCAATCTAGGATGCCACACACATATGTAGGGCTATGAATATGCCCAGGTAAGATTGCAGAAGGTCCTAGTGTCTCACTTCAGATTGATCTTGTTACTTTGTGCAAGCAGGAAGCAGAGGCTAACCGGATATGGTGGCAATGTCTGTAATCCCAGTAAGTCAGGAGGCAGATACAGGAGGATTGTAAGTTTGAGGCCAGCCTTAGCAACTTAACAAGGCCCTATCTCAGTGGTAGATTGAACCACTGCGTTCAATCCCTAGTACCACAAAAAATAATAATGAAATTATCAGTCCCATTAACTGTTAGATGACCTTCATTTCACTGAGGAAGTAAAGGCTAAGGCACTGATGTAAACTGTCACAGTGCTGAAGCTATGCACCAACATACATAGCCTCTCAGCAATGGCTATGAGACTTACTGGTGCCAGGCATCCAAGGAAATCTGTATAACCAATAGGTGACCACTATGCCAACCAAGCAGAGATTTCAGTGGCCACATATGACAAATGGCACAAACTTAATTAAATTAGCTCAGAAAACTAAACAAATAAATAGAAGAAACAACAGCAAATAGCACTACAATGATTGCCAGTCAACTACCAGAAACTAGAGGAGAGGCCTCAAATGGGTCTTCCCCTAGCACATTAAGAAAAAACAAATCCTGCCAACACCTTGATCATGCCCTTCTACCTTTAGAAGTGTGAGCAACAGTCAATCTCTCTCTCTCTCTCTCTCTCTCTCTCTCTCTCTCTCTCTCTCTCTCTCTC